ATCCGATGAATCGAAAAGAGAAAGAGAGAGAGAGAGAGAGAGAGAGAGAGAGAGAGAGAGAGAGAGAGAGAGAGAGGCCTGGGCAATCCAGGGAAGAGAACATTCGCCTCGTAAATCACTGGACATCGATAAGAGTCGTCGCGGCGTCCGCGCGACGTCCCTCGTTAATAATTGATACAATTAACGGCCATTCATTAGAGCCGCTCGCATATACAGGCCCAGAATACGGCGCTCTCGTATTCGCGTGACGCAATTTACGTCTGGCCGATCTGTTTTCGCCTCGGTATTGCAGCGCACGTGTCGCGCTATCATTCGATTTCTCCCATCTTGGTGTCATCCGCGAACCGATAATTTACGCTTACATCGACGCTTACGGGATATTACCTCGCTCATTTGATTTCGCAACTCTGAGATTGTGTTCCCGGATCCGACTAAAAATTGATTCGGGCAGTTACATCAGCGGCGAATATCGCGATCTCGCATGCTGCGTCGCAGCCTGCTGTTTATTCGCTCGATTCGATCCGCGGTATATTATCCTGGAACACGACAATCTCGCGGGAGTCGACGCGATTTTTATCAACAGTTTTAGGATTATTAAGGCTATATGAGATTGCTTATTTTTCCAGGGCGTGAAGGGATCGCGCTTCGTTTCTCTCGTAATGAGAAAAGAATTATTATTTCTCGCGCGCGCGCGAAAGTTTATTTTTATATTTCGTGTAATCATTGTTCGAGTATTTTCCTTTTCTATCCAAGTTCGATCGTTGTTGTCGTGAATTTTCAGCCTTTAAAAAACTTGCAGTCATTGCGGCGTCGCTTCTCTTGGAGGACGCGAGAAAGGTAATAGTAGGATGTTTTTTTGGGAAAAACCTGAAATTTTCAGGAATTTTTGTTTTATCCTAAGAAAGTAGGATTATCATGGAATTTATTGAGACTAAGGGAATTTTTAAAAAATTGTTTCTTTAATTTTTCTACATTATAAATGGTCTGCTAGTGCTGCTACTGAAACCTTCACCCTCAGCACTAGCATATATTATTCAATTCGTAAATATTTGTTTTAAAAAATATATTTAATAAAAAATTTGAAATTTTTTAAGTTTAAAATATATTAAAATGTTTTATTTATGTTAGAGTACAAAGTATAATAAAATTTGGAATATAAATACTTGGAAAATCTCATAGAATTTTCAATTTATTTACAAGTTTTGAATGTATATTCTGGGCAATAACATTCGCGCGAATTCACGTAGGAGGTGCGACGGGTTCGTTAATTAATTAGGTATTTCGAATCGATAACGACGTGGCCGCGCTTATGCATATGCATCGCGGCTTTATGAATCCTTTCCCGCGCGAACAAGCACCCGGTCGTCGCGCACAGTCGACCATTCACTCTTGCTTCTCTTTTCTCGCCTGTCTCTCTTTATCCGATGATCTCTTCACCTTTTTCGCAGTCTCACTTTCGCTCGTCCCGCTCCTTTTTCCGTCGTCGCGCGCGTACGCGAACTAATTAATACGAGCTCTACGCGAACCCATCCGTCCGGTACAGGATCCACCTATGCGGGTACCGACCTGACTGCGAGATATAACGATCTCGTCAAGGCCGAATCACAATTTCACCGTGCTACACTACAATCTTATTGGGAGTGTTGAAAACTACCGGTATGTTACCGCCGCCAAGATTTATGATCGGCGGCCGAGATCGAATTTAATTCCCTCAAAAAATCGTCGCAATCAATTATAAGATGCTAATCGTGCTTTAACCAACAGCTTCACCTGGAACATTGATCTGCTCTACACGCGAATTTTTTATTTATTATTCCTTTAACCTTGATACTCATTTTAATCGCAAAATTTACATCTATATTACGGTTATATGTTCGAGTTATAAAAGAGAAGAATTATTTGACATATGGATGCGCGTGTAATGGATTCGAACGTCAAAAGTGGGGCAGTGATGCACGCCTGCATTTACGTCATTGACAGCGTTCAATTAATTTCGTTGATTTAAAGAGTCGCGTAAATTAATCAAAAACTTTGGTAACAAATACACGTACCTTCTTTATTGTTTGCTGAAAATATTGAAATATTTATCATTATTAGACATTATTTATTATTCGTTCATAAAATGATTTCGTGAACATTTTTTTCTAGATTATTTTCTATTTCGTTATCGATACAATTCTTCTCGGTTCGTCGTACTTACTTAGAACGCGAAGACCCGGTGGTCTCGGGTATTCGCAAAACACATTCGCGAGTAACCGCCAGACTTTCGAAGCCCCAGTATCCGCGAGGCGCGAATCCCCGCACTCATTTACGCTCGTACGTGCGCATCTCGCGCATACATCACGCATTCGTTGGTGCAGCATGCATCGTGCGTCACGGTGCAGTGGCGTTCGAGTGGAGGCGAGGGGGAAGATAGAGAGAGAGAGAAAGAGAGAAAAAGCGCATACATGCACGATGACGAAGGAACGAAAGAGAGTGAAAGGGGAGGCTTAAAGTGGGGGCACCCTCTTCGTCGCCGGGCGTTGCTTCCGACTGCGTCGTCCCTGTCGGCTTATAAATAACACCATCTCCCTGTTTCTTCGTGCGTTTCTCAGTTTTTCTTCTGCCTCCGCTTCTTCCTCCTCCGGCTCCCGAGCTCCCGAGATACTTGACCGCCGCTCGCAAGCCTAATTAATAACACGTGATGAGCGATCGTGGCAAAACCTTCCGAGCCGAAAGATCGCGAGCGCAGCAAGAGAGCCGGCGAGAAGATGTAAGAGAGAGTGAGTGACATGGCCTGGACTAGACATCACGAGGGATTTCATTCGGGAATAGCGATGTCATAAAGACAAACGTACTGTTGTTGGAGATCTAAATACCGAAAGAATAGCAAAGATATTATTTATATCTTTTGACCGAATGAGAAATTTTCTTGCATCATTAATAGGAGGTACATAAAGAGGTAGACAATTGGGTAATTTGTTAAGAACCATTTAAAGAAATATTTAATGAATATATTTAACGAATATTTAATGAATATATGAATAAATTTGATAAGTAAACTTTTATTTTGTGTCTTTTACGAAGAAAAAATTTGGATTACTCCGCTTGTACAATTTTGTATCGGAATGCGAAGGCTATTCGCGGGAGATCGGTTAACGATGGAAGCTGACGCTGCATCGTGGTAACTAAGTCGTTATTGGTCGGACGAGCAACAAAACCCCCGTCGGATATAGAGAACACATTGTGTGTAACGTCGGTTGCGGGGAGGCGAGAGCGAGAAAGACGTCGTGGCGAATCGCGTCTCCTCGCACCATCTCGCGAGGGAGCACCCGGGTGTTCTGCGTTGTGTGTTCGTTACTGGACCGATAGCATCTTCGCTTTTTTTCTCCCGCTCTGTCCCTTCCTCTCTCTGTCAGCTCCGTCGCGTTCTTGTTTCTCTTCCTATCTACTCGCTCTTCCCCCCTGCTCCCTCCCCCCTTCTTCTTCTCCTTTTTCACTGTCCGCTCGCCGATGAGGAGGGGCCCTGAAGTGTCGAAGACCCGATACATATTCCTTCGACGCCGACGTTCCCGTCTTACAATGCGGACGATTGTTCCGTTCTTCTGGCGATTTCGATTCCTTGCTGTCGTCGGTAACTTCTACTATATTTTAAGTGACTCGCAATACGTTTATGTGCGATACTTTCACAACGTCCATACTTTATTTTTGACATTGGGAGAAGCGGAGGGAGACATTATCGCAGCTTTATTCTCCATATTAGCCATGTATCTCGATATCTCGATGGGTGGTATATGTAAAGCATAAATTTTTCAATAAGTGCGTATCCCCATAATCTTCGATTTTATTTCGCTCGAAAGGCGAATGGCGTTTCCATCTTCCGCGTACGAGCAACGAAATGCACTTCGCAAAGGCCGATATCTCGTCCGCTTGTCGCTCGTAGCCGTGGTGGTTACAAGCGCGGGTTATACCTGCCCTGTCTCGCTTAAGAGCATATCCTTCCTCGGCGAAAAGACGACGGGGCCGTAGTGGGCGAGCTTCGAAGGAGTCCACTATCTCGGAGACCACTCATCGCGACCGCTTCGTTATCGGCCGCGCGGAATCATAATGGACCATAATTGCATAAATATAATGTTAATTAACAATTAAGATTGCCGCTTTGCCTAATTGAATCACCTCTTTCGCTGCCTCTCCGGAGGGAGAGGGAGAGGAGAGAGAGGACAGGATGACATTGCCAACATACGATCTCCTCTTCGCGGTGAGATTGCACGGAGAAGGAGGGAATCTCGGGTGGTCTTTATCGGAAAATTATACCGATGGTCCTGGCGAGACTGCGTCTTTGATACCGCGCGACCGCGGAAGACAACTGTCACGCTTTTCGATCTGTATCTAAGCACTGGCGTTTTTCTAAACGTCGTTCCAAACAGCCCAGCGTTGGAAACGTCAAGATAAATTTCTCTCCGTAATATTCCCTTCCTCGAAAATTCCCGAGTTAAATGGAGTAGCCATTCTCTCGGTTAACGAACGTTCCATGCTGGCGCCCCTTGTGGACACCTCCATGGTCGTTTACCCGCGATATCAAGTACCGTCCGAATTCCACGCGGCCGAGTTCAGATACGCAATTAGCGGAATGCAGATGCAATAATAATGAATTCCCGTTAATAACCGTCGGTGCTGCACCATCGCGACGGCGGCATATTTACCGGAAGAGATAAATGGAAGCGCGCGAGAGAGGGCGTGCAAAATAAAAAGGTCGAATCCGCGCCGGAGAACCGTGACGGGTCGATCTGCGTTGCCGGGCTGCTGCCGTTGACGATGCAGCAGCGCGCGATTAAATCATGTCTGCTTCATGTTCCTTCCACTCTGCCTTCCCTTGCCCCTCCGATTTCTCGATCCCACCCTGCAGCCTTTTCTTCGCCGTCTCCTCTTCCCCCGATTCGAACCAGCCTCCGATGCCTTTTTTCTGTCTCCCGCGTCCATCGAATGCATTTTTATTCAATTCTTTTTTTTTCTCGTTTCAGATGGTTCAAGCGATCCAAGTCCTCCGGTTTCACCTCCTCGAGCTCGAAAAGGTGAGTATTCTTCACGTCCGCATTACAAGGCTCATAACGTTATTACCGATTTAATCTCATGATATATGTATATGCGCGATGCATTACTGCAATTTATTTCTTCGCTATCCAAGTTTATTATTTTATCTTTACATATTTTTAATGTAAAGAAGAAATTTCTATCTAAATTATTACAATCATCGTATCTTATTTTTTTGCAGTTTGTTTTACGCGTATATCTATATTTTCAATTTAAAAAAAAATGATTCTGAAAGTACTGAAAAACCTCGCGTGAAATTCTCACATGCCGCAAGAAGCAGTTTTCTACTTAAGTGTACGACCGACTGGAAATTCTCGCGATCGGTCGTATTGTAAGAGATTACCGCGTTCGCTCGGCGATAAGTCGCCTTTAACACCTGAAAAACGACTGTTATGACTGCGAGGGCAATTTTCCGTAATTGCAGTGAAAGCTCGGAATCGCTCGGATCTACGGCGCATTCGTCGAGACTGCGAATCGACTCTAACGTAAGTGGAGTCATTTTGCTGTCCAACGCGGCGACGAACGCGTTACCTCGTTCCTCGCGCAGTTGTTTGCTCTGACACAACTCTTGTTTCTTGTGTTTCTTCTTTCCCTCTCTTTTTTTCATCCGTTGTAGTACCTCCCCTTCTTTCCGATCGGCAAAACGAAATGACAATGCGTGCCGATACTTTACAAGACAGCCAGTTGTCAGCCCGAGCCAGTGAGAAATTATACAGCAGTCGCGCGAACGGTGAAAGTGAGACATCTGTCGAGGGAAATTCTGTCGAGACCGCGGGTTTTTCGCCGAGTGTAAACGAGAGAGAGATAGAAAGAGAGCCGGGAGCTCGTTTCGCCGCGAAATCTTTCGCTTTTCGCTCGTTGCCACCGTGTTTCACGAGATTCTCGGAATCATGCTCCTTTTTCATCGCGCCGCTATAATTTCGATAAGACAGATAACGAGTCTCTCTCTCGCTTTCTATGCAAGAATTCTTCGACGTGTTCTCTCCTTTCTCTCTCTTTCTTTGCCGAACGACTTCGCCCGCGGGATATGGAGGCGGGTCTGGTTTACCCAGGCGCTTTTTGCGGCGATATTTTATCATACAAAATAGCGGACACATCCATCGCATTTCCATCGAAATGGCAGCTGACGTGGCGGCAGCCATTGGCCGTCGCGCGCGGTCTCTTCGAGACCTCTTCGTGGTCTCTCGTCGTTGCCAGCCGCTCGGCCGGTTTGATCGCGCGCAATTTTATAGCAATTTTCCTCATTTGCGAGGATTACATTATTATAATGCCGCACCACCCGCGGCGGATTCAGCTATCGACTCTTGGATGCGTCACTATCGGCACGAAAGTATGTATTAGTTCCGCCAAGATCCATATTTGTCCGCGATGAAAAATTGACTCAGATTCCATCACGACACAAAATGGAATGCATCTATTTACTTCAAGTAAAATCAGATGGAGTACACAAATTTCGCAGCAATTCTACGTGTAATACTAGAGGTGGCGTATCTTAAACTGGACGAGAGGATCATTAAGCCAGCGAATAAATCACCGAAACACGGCTGTGCCTTCGCATCGGCTTATCTGCATCGAGGCAAATGAATTTACTAATTGGAGCTCGCTCCAAATTACAGCTACGTTTCCGTCTATCGCGATAACGTTTATTACTCGTTACTCGACGTGCCTCTAAATTTGCTCTCGTTAATGGAAGCACACGATTAAAGAAATTAGCGGACGCGGCAGATAACGGCTGTATTCTTCGAACGCGCTGGAAACGATAGTCGTCAGTGCCGCGGATACTCGGTAACGTGTAAGTCTGGTCTCGTCACGTATGTCGAATCCGCCAAAGTCCGGAGACGAGACGAGACGCGGCTTGGCACGCCATCGATGGTAACGGAGATTGAAACGTTTCTGGTCTCCGGGGCCTCTTCTAGACAAGACGAGACGAGATACGAGCGAGCGAAGCGGAATGTAGCGGGCGCGATGAAGAAGATTCCATAAATATCTGCGCTCGAAATGGAGGAGAGAAAGAAGGAGAGAGAAGAGAGCGGCGCGGAGAGAGAATGAGAGAGGAAACCAATGGAGGGAGGCTCATGGTAGCCCGCGGTGCTCTGCCTCGTGCATTTAACATTTTCGAACCAATCGCGTATTAGCATAATTACGTTTTGCCGGGGCCCGGTGCGCGGAAGGAAGGTCCGGTCAGGCCCTCTTTTCCCTTCTTTTTCTCTCTCTTCTTCTTTGGCTTTGCGATATTTTCTGTCGGCGCAGCACGGTCTCTTTTTCTCCCTTTCTATCCTTCTACTTTCGCTTCTCTCCTCGTCTCGCAGGACTTCGGACAAACCGCCTCGTGCGTACACCGGTTAGAGAGCGGTAAATTTCTTATGGGATATTATGGCGTACACAGTGCATACCAACGGGATTCGTACTGGTACAACACGCGGGCGACCTCCTCCTGCCCGCGGACGCGCCGCACGAAACTGGTTCTAAACCTATGCCAGCGCACGTCGCGTCGTTCTCCCTTGCTAGAATATCCTTGTGTTCTCCAAGCACGCGTACATATGCAAGTGCTTTATGGACTTTCGGACGTTTCTCGGTGATGTTACGACTGGACGATTTCAATCGAACCGTTTGCTGCGAGAATCATGTCCTTTAACGGGCTTTTAAAGTTTCATTAACAGATATACGTCTTTTAAATTTATTTAAGTCTCTTAAATTTATTCGACAAAGACACACTTTGTCAACTTTGTCGAAATTTTATTCGACGAAATGTGGATTAATTTCATGACTGTAAAAAAAAATTCGACGACGGATCGTCATCGGTATCGCGCTGGAAAGGGAAGGAAGCGAAAGCCTGACCGTTCACCACGCACACCCGGTATACAAATATCCTATGCGTGCTGTAAGGGTGGTCAGGTTGCGAATCGGGCCGCAAGAGAGGGAGACCGGGACAGACACCCCGAAACCTTCATTACCTTCGGCTTCAAAGGAGCCCATTGTGCCGTAAATGGGGTTCCCCGTGTTCCTTCTTTTCTACTCTCTCGCTCGTATGTACCTTGGATCCGCTCCATTCTTCGGCGTTTGCCTTTCCGAGAGTCCGTGAAGAGACAAGGCAGGGCGGAAGGGGCGAATGTAAGATAGGGAGACGCTTTACCCGTTCTTTCCTTCGTTTACGTAAATTTTCAAGCAATTTCGAGGCCGAATGAAAAGGGACACGAGGTCTTCGAGTTCGTATAAATGTCGCGGCACGCAGAATATTCTCTCTCATTTCGTGATAACAGAGGCAGCTAAAAAAAATCGAAAACTGGTTTTGACGTAATCGTTCTTCGTCTTTGAAACAGTATATGAGTACAAAATAATCACGCAATACGATAAATAACAATTTTTTTATTAACTAAAAAAGTTACAAATTTTTCCAATACATTTCCGCATACATAGTATATATTTGAAGAGTTATTAATGTGTAACACAATTTTACGAATATTAATGTAATGTTTTCTTCATATAATTCAAATAATTTAGAAATGGAATCAAGATTCCTAAAATAAATTTTGTTGGCGACCTATATTTTGACTTATTGTGAGATAGAAAATTCTGATCTTTCTTTGGATACGTTCTTGGCATAAAGAAGGTTTTCAAAGGCAGCTGCAGTGAATGGAATTCGACAAAGCAACGCAGCCATTTCTCTTTCGCGCATTAAGTCAATCATGTATAAAAAGAGGCGTTTCTTTGTAATGCATTCAAAAATTGTTAGCATGTCAAATAAAATAAAAATCTCAAGTTAGAGCAATGTTGCTTGTATACACAAGGCATTGTTAAACAAATTTTTCGCTTTTATATTTTATTAATATCTCACTTTATGAAGAATAATATTTATAAAAATTTAAATGAGACTCTCTTTAAATATATAAAAATGCGATGACTATAATTGTTTTATTCACGCGATCGTCGATAATTTAAGAAGCAAAAGCGAGACCGGAAGGAGACGCGAGATCGCTCATTGATTTCGAGTAGCTCTCCGATTCTCACTCGAGGACATCGATGTAAATCGCATTACACAGCCGCTTAAATCTTCGATCGGGGCATTCTCACTAAAAGTTTAATTCGATCGATGATAAACTTCGTTTCGAAATTGAATCGTAATTTAACTTGCGCTAAAACATTAAGTAGTCACATTCAGATCTCGGGGATTATTTTCGTACAGCATCCAATTACGGACACAGAGCGGCGCGTAGCTCGAAATTTGTTTCGCTCGCTTTCGTTCGCCAGATAACGGAACCACTTTGTCGTATCTCGCGCCACGAGATATCCCCGGATGACATTCTCTCTCTGAAAAAAATCGGACCTAACCACGTTGTCATCCCGCTCTTTCGATGACCGCCAAAAGCGATCTCGGAAAAGGGAGACGCGAGCGATCGAGCGTCTCGTTTTATCGCCGGGAACGACCTCCCTGTATCCTGTATCAGTCTCCCTTCTAAGATCATCGTTCACGGTATAAGATGACGCGAGAGATTCAATGGTAGGATAGATTGCAAAAACTCGCGTGCTCCAAAGCGATCGTATCATGTTTTGCATTGTTGGAGTATCCAACAGTCATCGATCTTACTCGAAAAATGCTTTTCCGATAATTTCGAGATTATCAATCAGCGTTAGTTTTATCCTGTTCAAATTAATATTAATAATCTGAAAGTTTAATATTTTTCTGTAAATCTTTTAATCTTCAATTTTTTCATTATTTCAGTTTTCTGTTAAAAATGAAATTATTCGTTGTTTACACAAACTGTTTCGGCTATAAAATGTGGTAATATTAAAATATTAATACATTTTTCAGATTTAAAATTTTAATATATATTTTTTAATATATACACTGAGCGAGACGAGATCGTTGATTTGAAGCGTTAGACGATGGCAGGGAGATATGCAGGCTCTTTATTTCTTTTCTTCGCTGAGCATTGTCGCTCGGTTCGACTCGACTCCCGGCGGATCAAATTCTAACCAGTCTGGCATTATAGCCGCTGTCCTTCAGAGTCCTTCGTCTTCTTCCACCCGCCCTTAGAGATCCTCGAATTAAAGAGAGAGTCTAGTCATCCAGAGGAAGGCATTGTGTTACGTTGCGTCGCGATGATACGTCGGAGGCAAATAGCACTGGAAAAAATTGTCTGTGAGAGAAGCGCGATCGAGGAGCATTCGAAATTATCGCATTATTAGTTCCGATGAGAAGCCCATCATTTTTCTGAAGAGAGGTAAACGAGCACGACGAATGTTTGTCGATCGATGTGAAAAATATCATCGTCCTGTAGTGACTTTGCATAAAATTTATAACGTTATTATTGATCGCTCTTAATAATATCGTGATTGAAACTTTTTTGATGAGCAAAAATGACTCAGTAATTGCATTATCTTATCCAATATGCAAAACGTTTGATTAGAGGACATGTATTCCCTATATCGATTACCGCGAGCAAATCTATTTCTCTATTTTTTTGAATGATGTAGGATCATTTACATTTACGTAATTCATTTCTTGAGTTTATTATCAAGAGGGAATCGCTGTCAGCTAAGCTTCTTGATCGGTCGACGGAAACTTGCGAACATCATGAGACTTTTCGCATACGCTTAACCGATGATAAACACGCGTATTGTCCTCCGTTCGTGTTCCCGATACACGCCACTATTGGACGATGCCGCCTACGGCAAAGATGGCCGTCTTCTCTATTATATATAAATGCCTAATAAGAGCGTTATAAGTAAACGTTAGGACGATACGGAGGTAGGCAAGATAATACTTGCAAGTTGTAGTAGCCCGGGGAGTGAAAGACGATGGGAGGAGAGGGTGTACGTTTGCGAGGGAACTGTCGTACACGGCTTCATAATACCTCGACTCGCCGCCGACGATTTACATATAACAAGATAACGATTTTTATTTGCTTTTGCTTATATAATACGTTTATTCTAAACGGAATCAAGGAGGCAAATCAGGCAGGAAGATAGGGCCGAGGGACGCGAGGATAGGACGAGGACTGGAGGATGAGTCGAGAGGGGGACGGAGAGAGGATCGACTATCCTATAGGCCTGTCAGGCCTCATTTGCATACATAACATTCTGGTCGACTGGACACCGGTCAGACCTCCTCTCCATCCCCCTTTTTCTCGTTCTCTTTCTTCGTTCGTCCGTTGCATCGGTTTCTCTTTAGCTACCAGATCTCTCGACCATCTTCCACAGCCTCGAGATGCGCGCTCTAGTCTCCTCCTTCTCCTTCTTCATCTTCGTGTATCGATACGCCGCGTTTGAATCTGCTGTGCATCTCTCTCTCTTTCTCATCGTTCTCTCGCGCCATGGTAAAGTCACGAGTCGATTGGATTCATTCGACGGAATCCGTCTATTAATCATTTCCGGCGGCATGGTTAATCAGCTACCTTGAAAAGTATCTTTTGGAAAACTTATCTTGGCTCTCCGATGGAGCTCGATTTAATTGGTTCTCGAATCTAGCTTACGACTAACGAACGTTTCATCTCTCTCTTTTTCATATTCCAGGTACACGAGCTCTGCGACAACTTCTGCCATCGATATATCAGCTGCTTGAAGGGCAAGATGCCGATCGACCTCGTGATCGACGACCGGGAAAGCTCGAAGCCACCCGAGCTGGGTAACGGTCTAGACGGCGGCGGCCCTAGGAGCACCGCCGACAGCACCAGTCATACAGACGGAGCCAGCACGCCGGACGTCGTGAGTACCTCACCATCGTCAACGTCTTACTATCCGCACGACGCGCTCACCCCCCACCACCACCACCATCACCATCACCACCACCATCACCACCAGAGCCAGAATAATAACAATAATAGTAATAATAATCACGCCGGGATCGGCAGTACCGCCACTACCACCCCCCTGCAACTGAGCAACCAAAACCAAAGCCAAAACCACCACCCTGCGCCGCAGTCGAACACCACCACTACTACTGCTATTACCCCAAGTAGCGCCGCCACAACTCCCAACTCCCTAAAGCGTACGCACCAACAGATGATGATGGCAGCCGCGGCGGCATCCGCGATGGCCACCTCGCCGCACGCAGCCGCATCCGCGCCCCCTGCGCACGCGCACGCGCACGCCGCCCTCGCCGCCTACCATAGCATTAGCTCGGCCGTTTATCCATGCTCGTAATAGATTACGCGACTTCCGTGCCGATTTTACGAGACCTTTTCTCTTTCTTCTCTGTTGTCCTTCCCGCGACATTATTACCTTCCTCTTATTTGCTTATCCTCGTTTTACTTCTTCTTCGTGGTCGCGTTCCGCTATCTTGTTCTCCGTGGATGTCGAAGCGAGTGTCATCGAGCATCCCTGGTAGGATCGAATCTACGCGATTAAGATGATAAAACGTAAGAATCGCATAGAGTGTGTTGTACCTTCAGGGTTGATCGCGTTCGCCCACATGGCGTCGCCGCTCGTCGGCATCGATCTCGCTCGTCTTTTGAGAGACTAATCGATCCCTCTCTCTCATTCTCTCACGACATCGGGAACGGTCTGTGTGCTGCGCTAGTTCAGTCAGTCTAGTCAGTCACTGACAACAGCGAGCCAGGTCGAACGCGCACGGTGCCCTCTGATTAGCTTTCGCATAGAGGTCATACACGCGTGGGAGTTTGAACATGCGAGCCCGGGCCCGTGAGAATGGGCCTGGTGCTCTGTAGAGAGACAGTAATCTAGTACCTGATCGATGACGAGACTCGTGGGCAGCAGCTTCTAGCGCTCTGTTCTCGTCCTCGTTAACGTCTTCGTTCGACCTTTGCAGAGCGAAGAGGGCTACTACTCGACGTTTCGTGGGATATGTTAGAATGTATGCCGTACGCGAGCAATAACAGATCGCGCTCGTATTGTTGGACTGGCGCTACTTGTTGGAACTCTCTCTCAATATCTATTTTCCGTAAGTGTCTCGTACTGCTCCGCGAGGATGAATGCCGATCTTCTCTCCGGCACTTGACTGGCTTTGAGTTCATTCATTCAATCTTGTTTTTTTTTTCTTCGTCTAAGCTCTCTAGTTATTCGAGATTGTACATTTTATTTGTTCGTCGCATTTTTTTTACATTTATCTTTGTTAAAATGTATCACTTGTGTTAAGTTTTCTTTGTATAAATCTTGTTGATTCTGCGCGTACAAATGGAAAAAAGGAGGGAGAAAATTGGACGTAGAGATTCGTTTTTTTTTTTAAAGTCTGAATGAAAAGTGTCGTGACGAAGCTGGATGCGTCTGGGTCCATCGTCTTCTCAGGTTTGCCAAATGGCCTTTTCGCAATACTTTCACGTAACTCTTGCGACGATTAAATTTGCGCTTAATTAATTCGCGTGAATTTTTGCCCGACCGTATTGTAGATCTGACGCAGACTCGATTACATAAGATTTCGTGCTTGTGGAGCGTAGTAGAAGAATGTTTCTAAATCTGTTTCGACCCAGACAGACAACGGTCGTCCGTTGACATCGACCCTCGATCCGCTTTCAAAACATATTCAGAGATATTCTCGCTCGAAATCGCCTTGGAAACCAGTCGTAATGGGCTATTATCGGTGCGAGAGCTCGCGGCTTGTTCGCAGCCTTATGCAACCAATCGTGCGTTTTGCTCTTCGTGCGGGACGCGGTCGGCCTCTTTCCATCTGCAGGCCCGGCAGTTATCGGAAATAACGAGATACGCGGTTCGCGCGCGTTCATCGGTAAACCGCTTCGAGAGCGAGGCATCCGTTCCATCTCGGAGCATCTCTCCTCTCTCTCTCTCTCTTTCTTATTATCTTGCAGCCTTCTCTCCCGTCTCTCCCTCAAGGTCTCTCGCGGCACGCCACGACGCACGAGACAGACGTACGAGATACTTAAAAGAACGGGCATTAGCGAAGGAGGGCGCGTTCGCGATCTTTCCGCGCGAATCGTCAGCAAAGTAGGTCGTCGAGTAGCTAGAGATAGGCTAGATGGAGAGGTGCGAGAAAAATCGAGGTAGTAGTTTAACTGGTTCGAAAACGTCTTTTTTCCTCGCGTTGGATATGGCGATCGAACGCAAGTGAAGGAGGGTAAGGAGAGAGAGAGAGAGAGAGAGAGAGAGAAAGGGCAAGACAACAACACGCGCGGGTTACTTCGAATGTCACGCAAACGTCGCGAGACCGTATCAGGTGTATAGCGACAGAATGAAGAGACAGACGGTCAATTAACTGAATTTTATCGCGGTGTAGGGAAGGGCAACCGGGGTGCGAGTGACCCGGTGTTGCATTTTATACACTTTTTCTTTTCATTTAATTTTCTACTTTTTCTTTAAATATAAATACCGCAATTATTGAGCGCGATTTATGCACGGGGCGCTATAGGGGCGAGAGAGCACGCGCGCCTTTGATAGCTAACCGGCCTCGGTGCAGCGCGCGTCGAACGATGATCGATACTATCGCGCGGTAGGCGTGTTTACGACAGGCATTATATCGTCTACGCGGCGTCTACTTTCCTGAGGTAGCTTCTCTTTCGTGGGCGTACACGCGCTCGGGTGACGTCGCAGCGCGCGTCTTCCTACGATTAAAATACGAGGTAGCAGTCGAGGCCATCGATTAATGGATTCGCTGAGCTAGATATTAATCGTGATCTGAATATACGTAATAGGATTAAGGCTCACACGTCACAAAAAAAAATGAATTTTGTGTCTATTTTTAAACTGAACGATCCGAGTTAGGTAGGGAACGCATGAAAGGCATAAGAGCGAATGGGTACGCAAGGCAGTGAGTAGGATGACGTAATATGTGCGAATCGTGTTTAATGAGCACGAGATAGACTGTAGCATTTAATTTATTGTCTTTAATTTGAGGTTACCGGGAGTTGGCAAGTATACTGTATAAAACATGTAACGACGGGACGAGACAGGAATTACGAGATATACGACGAGCGAATGTGACCGTACTAGACACAGACTGCAAAATCTCCTTGAAATTGCGTTCGCGGGTGTGCGATTGGGATCGAGTTGAGCGAGAGTAGCGCAAACGCAGAGCAAAAGGCATATTTGAGATCGGTCGAATCGACGAATGCGAGAGCGAAAAATGCAACTAAAGTCGTGCGCAATCGAATTAGCCAGCTATTGTCACTAGGTCTCGGTACTCGTAACTAGGGAGTTGTGTGAGGTACTAGTCCTGATCGGCAGGGCGCGCGAGGTCCACCCCCCAATCCCCCGTACTTAATAACCCTTGTATCTTATATGAGAGAAATAAGATGAATAATATCTCGTAAGAGCGAGGAGTCAAACTTTCTTGCTGGTGCCCCGCTATATCGCGAGAAGAATTTTCAGAAAATTTGCCGCCCTGATATCGTTATGATTTTCATTTATTACATCTACTTTAATTGAAGTTATATATTACATGTTTATTAAAGTCGCATATATTATAAATGTAGTTTATATAATATAATGTTATATTATATTATATAATTATAAACATGCAACATATACCGCAACATATATGTTGTGTATTTCATTTCCTAAATGAAAATATCGCGTATATTCGTGTATGTCGTTCTTGCGAATTACATACAAGAGTGCATCTATCTGTCCTCACAACATATAATATATGTCTTGAGGTTTCACTTGGGTGGAAGCAAACCTGAAGAATCTTCGATTTTACATGGCAGATACGTAAAATTGTATGCAGGGCACCAGAAGGAGATCTAACATGGGGGACAATTTTAACCCGAACGCCGATTGAACGCGATAGCGATCTTTGTCAAGTTCGCTGTCGCGACTCGGCGCGAGGACGCAAGATGATGCAAGGGTGTACGAGGGTTGGAAGGTGGACTTTGGCACCGGTCGATCGGAACCCTAGTTACGAGTGCCGAACCTAGGGCCGAGAGGAGTATAAACCTCTCGGCTTTTGTTAGACGTTGAAGGAAAGAAACAAATATGATTCGGAGTAAAAGATAGAGGAAAAAATGAAAGGAAACAAGGATTAATGACAATAGTCGCAAGAAAGAACGAAATCCGATGCTTATTTTTGTTTTACGCTATGATAATCTTTCAAGGATCGATTATTTCAACGCGATTTATTTTAGATTGTTATATAGAATTTGTTTAATATCGAATTTCTCAAATTTAACTCAATCTATTTCGCCTTGAAGACTGAATCGTTGATTTTAATTCGTTGGATAAAGTTCTAAAAATTTTTTTATGATTTGATGATTCGATTTAGAGATGTTTCGCGTCGGTAAAAGTGCTGGAAGAATTTTTACGATTTAATAAACGATTCGTTTTTCAAGATTGTGTCATTACTTCTTTTTTAGATAAAAAAAAAGTAATGCGCTTAAATGATCGATTCATGATAGATAATTTGATCGTGGAGCATCTTTGTGTATTTTGAAAAACTCGATGCGCATTTGCATGCGATGCACACGAAGGAGATTAATTTCGCGATGGCGAAAGATTAAAACTAAAGAACGCAGAGAATAACGTGAATACTTAGTGCCATAAGTTGCAGCGTGCGCGTACTCGCGCCGAGACTGTGTACTTAAATAGATTACTAATCAAAGGAAATCGCGATTTAGCGATTTCTCGGACGAGAAATATTCGATATTTTTTAGTGCTCAAGCGTATAGGCACCGTTACCACATAATCAAAACTCGAGGAAATACGTTCTTCTCCGTCTCTTTTTATTCTGTTCCAATTTCGAGATTTTTACGCTTTTCGTTTACGATCGGGAAACGGTACTATTGTCGCTACAACGATCG